CAGGCTCCAGGCTCCGAGCCATCAGCCCAGAGCCCGACGCGGGGCTCGAACTCATGCACCGCGAGATCGTGACCTGGCTGAAGTCGGACGCTTAACCGACTGCGCCACCCAGGCGCCCCAGCAGTTTCCTTTTAACCTGAGACAATATTTGCTTCCTAGTTCTGTTCGGAGGCAAGTTTTCATGGATCGAAATAAAATGCAACCTAATTAAATGCCATGGATTTTCTTTCTGTAATTTCACCTGAATTCAGGTTTGATTGCTTTTATCTACTGTTGTGATATTCATCACGTTTCTTTTAATTACTTACCCATCTTTTACAACATTTTCCACAGAGTCTCATGGGAGTTTGGGACATATCTGGGGCATGTGTCCATGCATGAAAAACTAAGTGATTCTTCACCTTTTGGGGTCAAAGACCCCTTTAATTAGAATCTCATTAAGCCTCTGGCTTAAACTCTCCGCCCCCCCCTCCCCCCAATACAGTTTTTGGATAGTCCCACAGACCTTTGAAATCTTGGCCAGAAACTAGAACCAGAGTTAGAAACCCCTTATCCAACGCTACAAGAAAGGAAATGGACACAAACTAAGGAATCCCAGGTGGTAAAGAGGGTGGAAGCTGAATGCACAGTGTCCTGTAACTTCGTCGACATGACTGTGCATTTGTAACGTGGTTCTGGAAATGGATCTGTCAGACATCCTGGCACGATTCTCGTGTGAATGCAGGTTTCTCTGCCCCACCAATTCCTTCCCATCTCCCGCCTGGGTCGCTGGGAATGATCTGGGTCCTAATCTTACATACGAGAAAGCTGAGATTCAGACTACGAGCTCTTAAGTGACTTAAGGTTTTCTCGTTTCTCACTTTTACGGTTTTGGCTAAGGGGACCAGAACTTGGGGATGGCATGATGGTGAAGATAGTCGTGACTTTTTAAAAATGCTAGATCACAGCTTAGAATCTGTTCTTTTTTGATGTCTAACTGTAAAAGACGTTGTTACTGTGCCCTACCTCCAGTTATGAGTAAGGTAATCTAACTGCATGCTCTTCCATTGTGAAGCACTACAATTAGCCTTTTTTTTTTTTTTTTTGTTTTTTTTTTTAAAAGCGCGAGGGGGGGGGGGGGGGGGGGGGGAGGGCAGAGAGAGGGTGGCAGAGGATCTGAAGTGGGCTCCATGCTGACAGCAGAGAGCTCGATGCGGGCTTGAACCCATGAACCGAGCTGTGAGATCATGACCTAAGTCAGACGCTCAGAACTGACTGGGCCACCCAGGTGCCCCTAAACCTTTTTTTTTTTTTTTTTTTTTAATGTTTATTCATTTTGAGGGAGAGAGAGAGAGAGAGAGAGAGAGCGTGTGAGCTGGGGTTGGGGCAGAGAGGGGAGAGACAGATTCCTAAGGAGGCTCTGTGCTGTTAGTGCTGAGCCTGACATGGGGCTCAGTCTCAGGATCCGTGAGATCATGACCTGAGCTGAGATCAAGAGTCGGGCACTTAACCAACCGAGCCACCCAGGCAACCCTACGTTGGTTAACCCAACCTTAACGTCTGAAGAGCAACTTTACTGTAACACTCGTATTTTGGAGACCAGAGGCAGAATAACATTTCCTACATGAAGAAATTGGGGCCCAATGTGTTGTTTTCCCATGGCAGGATATTGAGTAGTAAAGTCCAGCTCTAACTCAGTTCTCTGTTTTACCTTCTATTCTTTTTTTTTTTTTTTTAATTTTTAAAAATATTTTTGAGATCGAGGAAGACAATGTGAGCAGGGGAGGGGCAGAGAGAGAGGGAGGCACAGAATCTGAAGCAGCTCCAGGCTCTGGGCCATCAGCCCAGAGCCCGATGCGGGGCTCAAACTCACGGAGTGCGAGATCGTGACCTGAGCCGAAGTCGGACGCTTAACCGACTGAGCCACCCAGGTGCCCCTGCCTTCTATTTGTTCTAATTCGAAATACCTTGGTATAATTAATAAGCACAGAGGCAATAGTATAAAGTAAGTCAATTTCAAGACCACACTGCTTGATTCTACTCAAACCTGTTAGCCTCAGGAGCTCACCTGATACCTGGAAAAGCAGGTAAGTTTTCTCTAGAACTTGAAACCCGGACACAGTTGTGTTCTTTTGAAAGATTTTCCGGAAATGATACTGCAGAGTTGGCCAGTGGGCCATTTTAGGGAGTGAGATTTATCCTAAGAAATCGTTAAACTGATTTAGCAGGGAAGTGAAGTGATCCTTGCGTTAGTGATTCCCAAGGAAGTGTTTGGGCTTGCGCTACTGCCCTATCTATTCCCCTGTAGAGTTTTTGGTTTCAGTGGTACGGGTGTTGCTGGAATTCAATGTGTTGGGGTTGTAGAGGCTTATCATCTTGCAAGGTCCAGGACAGCCCTTAATAAGAAAGGAGTTTCCACCTAAAATGCAATGCATCTGGAGAATTGCTTCCAGCTTCTAGAGAATTAAAGACTGGAGGTTGGAAGGAGACTAGCAACCACGTGGGTGCAATTATCCAGGCAAGGGTTGATAATGGCTGATTCCAACATGGCAGTTTGGAGAGCCTCGAATGAGATCAAGAGAGATTAGGAGATAGAATCAGTAGGCGTGACACCTCATTCCCTGTCAGGGGAACTATGTAGGATGAAGAATGAAATTTCTGGGTTACCGGCCTGGATAGGAAGCCAAGTCCTGAGATGGGTGGGGCCAGGAGATAATAATCAGTTTGGGAAATGTTTCATTAGAGAGGCTCAGGAGCTATCCAAGGGTAAAT